TTCCTTATTCACTAAGTCACTCCTTATTCAATGAGATATTCCTTATTCACTAAGTCTCTCCCTATTCATTGAGATATTTCTTATTCACTAAGTCATTCCTTATTCATTAAGTCGTTTTTTCATTGGTGAATTGTTAAACTGAGTCCATGTATTGTGAAGGTTTTATCTTTGTTCTGTTAGTTGTTGCAGTCTAAGAGACATGTTAATGTACACAGTAACTGTAGATTTTTCAAGCCCTACCGTAATCATTTGACTTTTTACATATTATTATTGGAAATGGCAATCACTCACACAGCTCATGAATTAATGAAGTAGTAGCTTAGCCAACATAACTATCATTTTGACTTAGATAATATTAGGTGCTAGCTCAAGGTTACTGGAGGTAATAGAAAAAAAAAACAAGTCTCCCTAATTTCAGTTTCCAAATTCAGCATTTTTAGTTTTGGAGAGCAGTATTTACTTTTAAAAATAAGAGTAAGAGAAAACATGACAGTCATAAAAGCCTGCATTGCTTACATTATCAAAGTCAATATTGTTTTTTAAGAAAGACTAAACATAAGATTTAATACTTCCAGTTGATATGATAACTGGTAGTTGGTACCGTAGCAGTCTAACAGAAGTTCTTTTATGATATTCTTCACTTTAAAAACATTCATAATGGTGGGTGTTTTGGAGTAAACTTCAAAATAACTTAAATTAGCATTGCAGGTATATTCAAAGCTTCTAACAAAAGTAATAATTAATATTATTAATTTAGCTCTAAGAGTTACTTAGAAAACTTCAGCACAAAATTTACGTACCTCAACACACAGTTACAATGAGTGCAACGAAAGCAGTTCTGATGAAATATTAATCCTCCTACCTCCATCTTCTCCACTGGATATAATCGCTTCTGGCAGAGATCACAGGCTTCTCCAGTAGATGAACCCTGAAATTAAAATTCAGATAATTTTGTTCCTATGTCCTAATTAAAATACAAAAGTAGTGAACTTAGTCTTTTAAAGAAATTGTCAAATTTCCACTGGTGCAACACCAATGAATTAATTATAGTATTTTGGCACTTGCGTATGAAGTTAAAATTATAAATAATATTCAACGTTAAAACTGGTACACAATTAAAAACATTTTATTTAGGCCTATCTATGGCCTTCAAAAAACCTCATATTTTAACAGCAACAGGAAATCTGAAAGTCATCAACACAGAGTTTGTTTTGCAACAGCAAAAAGGAAATTGTTCAGGGATAGCATTGGTCTTAATACTGAAAAGTGTGAAACTCAAGACATAACTCTGTGTGACTCTAAATTTCTGTGTGAAGGATCGGAACAATGTGAAATCCAAACAAACTTTGGAATGACCTGTCATTTAAAAAGTTACAAATAAAAATAGGTAAATGGCCATGTAACCCATAGGAATGAAGGTCTTGTACAATTATAAACCACTATATAATATCATAAGCCTTCTCAAGGTAAAACAAGATACTTCCTCTTGACAAAATAAGTGATCCGCAGCCTATGGAAGCACACTGGATGTATGAGAGAAAGTTGTTTAATTCAAGGAAGATGAGCATCAACCATCCTCTCCAAAACCCTACAGAGACAGCTACTCAAAGCAATAAGATGATAATTAGAAAGAATCTTTCCTAGACTTAGGAAAAAGGGTGACAATAGCTTTCACCATACATCTGAAAAAAACCTTCTCCTGCCAAATCCAGTAAAAAATTATCAGAAGAGAAAGATGGTGTAGCATCTCATCATGAATATCACCAGGTCCAACCGATGTACTGCCAAATCACTGTAGAGAAATTATAAGTTCCACTTGTTTAAATGGTCTGTTATAGTGGTGATCTTTTGGTCTATCACTTGGTGGCCAAGAAGGTAGGAGAATGTGTGGAAGTGCTGAAATGGTGTCAGCAACACCTTGTAAATCAACAACTTCCTCGCCCTTGGGATGGAAACGTACTTCCCATTGATCTTTTGAATCTTGTCCCAAACGACCTTGGAACTGGTGGTCAGGGAGATGCTGGAAGAAAACTTAATCCAAGATTCCTTTTGACTTTGACATCTGACCTGCCAGGCATGAGAACAAGCCTGCTGAAAGGCCATTCCATTCTGAAGGATGGGACGTCTTTTGAAAGACATCTCAGGCCCATTTCTGAGCCTTCCAAGCTTGTTTGCTGTCAGGAGTTCAACATGGATGAGTATACCATGGCAAACATGTCAAGGTTTTAGGGATCGTTGGAACAGCTACAATACAGTTAGTTACTGCCTCCATGCAATCATTAATAGTCGGAAGATTCACGACAGCAAGATCAAGTCCCGAGAGAGTAGTGAAGGAAAGCCAGTCAGCCTGCTCTAGCTTCCACTGTGGAATTGACCACAGCCAATCTAACTTAGAATGATGGGAAAATGGTAACTGTCCATCTATGAAAAACAAACAAGAATGTAAAGGAAACAAATGTACAGATCAATAACAGCAAGAAATATGTATATGAATTAGTATTGAAGAGAAAGGTTGTGATCCAAGAGCATGTGCTCCACAGAACAAAATATCTCATCAATATCGGCACCATCCCAGAGGGGATTGTTTCCATTAAAGTCTCCTGAGATAAAGAAGGGAGATTACAACTGTGGAATAGGATCATTAAGGTCTGCTTGACCATAATCTTCTCTTGGTGACAGGTAAAGAGAACATATAGTGATGGTACAACCCATGGAGAATGCCCACAGCCACCAGTGACATAGATTGTGGCACAGACATAGTGGTCAACCAGCAGTGCCACACCCCCATTAACTCAACCATTGTACAACCTGTCTTTCCTGTACATGCAAAATCACCATAAATTGACAGCAATGGCAGGTCTTTGGAAAGTTTCCTCTAAGGAGAGACACAGGATGAATGGAAACATCGACAGTTCCACTGTATCAAAAAGACCATTTTTATTTAGAAGCAGTAGGAGAACTGGATGGAGAGCATTTTTTGTTTAAGACCCCAGCATTTTTTTTTACTAAAAAGAGGTCGATGGAGCAGGTTACTTTGAGATGAATGAGAATCCAGTGAGGGAGTGCTTGACCAAATAAAGGTCCTGCACCTCAGAACTGGAAACTGTGGTAGGGACAGATATTGGAGTAGATGTAGATTTGTCGACTCAGATGTCCGTGGAGGGCAGAAGAATCTTGACATAACGAGAGAAAGACTCTGTTGGAGGAATGGAGAGATCTGTTCAAACCCCCCAAAGTGGCAATGAAATGAAGTGTAGCAGTATATGTCTGAGTTAGAAGAGGGGACAATGTTGTGCATGATCTGTAATAGGTGTACCTTTTTCTCTTCCAGTTTATTCAGTATGGGTTCAGTTGACACTGATAGGTATTGTGGCCTTGCCATCACAACAAGCATACATCAAAGTACCATGACTAGATGCTTTTGTGTCCAAACTGCTGACAATGGAAACACCTGAAAGAGTTAGAAATATGTGGCCATACGTTACGGTTCAGAAAACAGTGGCAGGTGGATGCCATATATTTCTAACTCTTTCAGGTGTTTCCATTGTCAGCAGTTTGGACACAAAAGCATCTAGTCATGGTACTTTGATGTATGCTTGTTGTGATGGCAAGGCCACAATACCTATCAGTGTCAACTGAACCCATACTGAATAAAATAACAGTGGCAGGTGGATGTGGTGATGTAAACTTCAAATTAAGAATGCTGGTAGCCCACATTATACCATAACTTTGAGTGGAGATTCGTCTAATATTTCAACTCAGGGATGTTAAGTAAATCTCTCTCATTTATTACTCCTTTTGAGGGTTTCAAAGTAGCAATGGGAGTAACCTCAAAAGGCATAATGTCCACTGCACCCATTGAAGATATCCAATACTGGCTCTCAGTTGACCCTGTTCCCATAGAACCAGCCAACCAACCCCGAGGGGGGCACTCACTTGTAGGAAGTCAAGGCCAAGGTGGTGTGTTCCCATGCTTCTGACACCACTCAACCACCAAAATAGTTCCCTACCCTTCAAGTGTTGCCATGCACAGCAAAGAAGAGAGCAGATGTTTGAATCCCAGATAAACTGTAAAGACAGAACCTTCCCTAAGAGGTCCCCTCACCACATACAGGAATGCACTTCAAGGTAATTTTACATTTGTTTTATAAAGATTCAACATATTTTAACAAAATTATTAGTGATGTACATGTTTGTCTAAAATATTCAAATGGTGAAGTTAACTAAATTGATGAGCTGCAGTAATTTGTAAACTATGTAAGTAAAATAATATGTTTTTACATGATTTTGCTTTATTTCATCAATTCTTTGGTACTACAACCCAAAACATACCCTTCAGCACAAGTATGGATTCTAGACTGACAGATATTACATAATGCTACTGCTTTCCAATATGAACTATGTGTGTATAAAAACTTATAAATATCCAATACAAAATAACAATTAACCATAGTTATCATGCTAATAATTGTATGTATTACTTTACTATTTGAATTTTTGTAATTTGAACCCGTAAACACGAGCAGATGGAACTCTAAAATTTTACCGGGAGAAATGCTAGAAAGGGCCCACAAGTTTATCTTAAAAAATAACAGAACTACATACTTTTCCAAAGAGGCCCACCAGGATTTTTACTAGTGTCTGGTTAGGCTGGTCCGCACCTGTTCGTAAATTATAACTGGTTACTTCAAAATAAACATGGCCCAGCATGGCCAAGTAGTTAGGGCACTCAACACGCATTCTGAGGGTTGCAGATTCAAATTCCCGTCACACCAAACAAGCTCATCATTTTAGCCATAGGGGCATTATAATGTGATGGTCAATCCCACTATTTGTTGGTAAAAGAGTAGCCCAAGAGTTGGCAGTG